TAGACGTATCGGCATCCACCCTACGGATGAGGTAAAGATTAAGGTGATATAAAACCCCCCCAAGTCGGTAAATTATGACACTTTTTTAAGGGGGTTATAGGATTCGTGCTTACTCGAGGTACGTTAATTACCTTCAACGCGGAAGAGGGATGCATTAACCAGTCCATGTGCCGAGGGCCTACCTGTAGCACGGCCAGCGGAAGATTATCGATATGAACTTTTGTTTGGCAAAACGACCTAATTATCAATTAGCCCCTCCAAGCGTGGCTCCTTTAGCATATTTATGTTTCCCATTTCGCGGCATAATTGCGCCCGACTTTAGTACTTATTATCGCATTTCTCGGTACAGTCCCTATTAGGGGATCTTGATCTCGGGACATAATAAACTCTCTCCTTCTCTCTTTCCAGAGGAACATGCCAGGATCGGAGAGCAACGGGCAACCGGAATCGCTCCGAGCTGGGCCGGTTGCTCGGCGCACTCGTCTTTTCTGCTTTTCTTTTCTCCTCTTTATTTTGCCTTCCCACCAGGAGGAATCCTCAATGGCACGTTTCATTTGCCCCTTCCCGAACCGGGGTTTCCTTTGATATGCTTACTTTGGGGCGTTACGTATTTAGTTTAAGGGAAATTGAGACGGAATGGACGGAAGAAAGTGCGTGCCTTTTTCTTGCGTATGGCACTCGACATCTATATCTACGGATATAAGATATATTTCTAAGTTTTACGCGAGCACAAGGGCGATACCCGTGCAGTAATTGCATTACCTTCGCACGATACGTTGATTGGATCCGTATGCACCGTATCAGGGAAGCATTTTTCCGCTTTTTCGACGAAATTGCGTAACTCGTATGACTATTGACTTTCATACCCCACCTGACTCTTGACTTTGAAAGGTCAGGTGTGATCATGTCACTCCAAGTCCTTTCCAATCGGCTTGACAGGACTTTTACAGACAGGGCTTTCTACTCTTGACGAGGTCGCTAAACATGGTGTCACAAGTCATAGATATATCGCATATCAGCAGTTCTCCCTACGAGCTGCACCGAATGCAGTTTAACTTTCTGGGCCAATCGACTGGACACTGCTGGACCCAAACGAGCGATCGTCCTTTGTCTTGTCCCCATTAATTATTCCTATCGGTGACATGACATTGACGGCTCGTGCAGCGCTGCGATCGCGATGCCATGGAGTCTGAATGCTTCCGTTTAAACAACGGTTGAGCATTGATTTCTAGTGAAAATATGCGGATGTTCGTGTACTAACTCGATGATGAATGATAATACATTCGGACGATTTTCCGATTTCTAATCGTCACTTCTGTACACTTCCTGCCTTTGACGATAATTGGACGTCTATCGTTACACATCAGGTGTACGCTCCCCTGCATACACTAATGATGCACTCCCTTGTGCGTGTATCAATTAACAAGTGAAAAGCGATTTCGGTGTTTAGAAGAATTATAACGTGGAAAATGTGAGTAGAGTGGCGACTGATAGTAGAAACTTATGTATAAACTCTTGAAACGTTCTTCGGATATCCACGAGATTCGTTCTTTCGAAGTTATCAAAGAACCTTAAGGTGATACAAAAGTTACCATCCGCGGAGTCAGTTGTTTATAAAACTCTTCTAGGAACAAGTTATACCGAATAATTTGAAATTTTACCACGCGAGGATGTAGGCCCTGAGAAAGGTCCTGGTATTTCATGTTGCACATAGAATTAAGAAAATGCGTATAAATAAATTTAATAAAATTAGATTCCACGGGTGCCAGTGGTGTCGTCGTCGGTAGAGGTATGCTCAGGCCTGAATCCATTTACCGAGCATTTCTCTCGCCACGTCGAGCACGTTATCGACGGAGTCCACCGGATAAAACGGCGCTGTCGGTCTCACGCGAACGCCCGACATTGGCGGCATCGTTCCTCGATTACTCGCCCCAAGTACACGAGCTTACGGAGGGGCCAATTAAACTCGATTCCAGACCCGCGGAAAGCAATTCGCGGTGCATGGACGCAAAGAACCTCCTGGCAATATTTACGATATTTTCTAATTGGAGCCGCGCTCCACTTTCCACGCTGCAGCGTCGCACCCTAGACACTTTAGCCTTCTACGGTTGCGGGAAGGATCGTTTTTTAGAACCTATCAACGCTACATTGTGCGGATTATAAACGCGATTTCGAAATGGTGGAGGTTCAAGATACCGCGACCTAGCCAACTGGTGGAATTCCTTCCCGTTGGGGTATTTCTTGTTAATTTTCAATTATTCGCACGATGAACTCTCGATGGATAGGGCTCCGGTAAATTGTTCGGTTAGTTATGGGTCGATATGAAGTTGTAAAAATGTAACACGCTACGGATCATTCGAGTGCAGTCCGTACCTGCTAATGGAAATTTATGTAAACACGTTGCGCAAAGCTTGAACGCGTCATGTTAAGAGATTACATCGAAAATGATTTATTAACCAATTTCCTCCTTCCATGTCATCCTCTGCCATGTAAGTTTTCCCTACTTTCTCGTGCCATTTAACCCAATTATGATTAAAAAAAACCTGTTGTCATTAACTAGAAGCACTGCAAATTTGTCCTTCGAGAGATTGCACGTAATTATCGAGAAGTCATCACGAGGACGCATTGCGTGCAGAACTGGAAATCGATTGGGAAATGGAACACCGATCCACGGTTCTCGAAATGCAGGAAACGTCATAATTGGCTACTTTCCTTTCATCGAGTAACATATTCCATTCGGCGGCATTACCTTTATCAAGTTTGCCATTCGCCTACTGAATCACTTTGAACCGATCTGGAGATATAATCAAGCGTATAAATGACTTCTCTGATAACCTCCTTATCGCGATTCCCTATATCTGCATTAATTTAAATGGAATAAATTTGAATTATTTCCACTCTGAAATGCTACGCGACGGAAACTTGATCTTTAAAAAATCGCTATTTTCCTCGACTTGAAAGGACAAATAGTAAGTACTTTTCTTGTTAGTGTTGTTAACGGCAGGTATTACGAAGTCAAGATCGCTTTCCATGAAAGTCGGAAATCGTTATGTCAATCTTAACGAGTCGGGATTCCTTTGGAAAACGCAGAAGACATAATTGCTCTCGGTTCTCGAAAAAGAGGAAAAGAAGTTACTCTAAAACGGATCTGCAATGACTGCACCAATTAATAGAGTGAATAAAGACACTTATTAAAATAAGTAATACCCTGTCTTAAGATACCACATATGTACAAGTACATGGAATCGACGAATCATTTACTTCCTGCTCGCAGAAGTCTCATTTTCTATCACATCCTTTCCAATAAATCAGCTTCCTCATTATCACAGATATTAAACCGCGATAATAATGATTCATTAAGCAGAGGATTGACAGCCACTCTTTTTATTTAATTTCTTTAAATACGTTTTCATGTATACATTTTCTTATTGGCTAAACAATTTTACACATATCCTCTAACGATTTTGTTATAATTTAAATTGAAAGTGCGTTTACCTTTTTATTACTTTCACGCGTGAAGTAGATAATAAGAGACACGTTATTTAACAATGTTGCCATGGTGATTATACGTGTATATATGTAAATGGATAGAAATAATGGCCTCGAGAATTTCTGTCACCCCGTGCTGTCAATCAGCTGGGATTGATTCTATTATCTTTATATAGTTTATCCGGTCCACGATCGTTTGTCATAATTGAATGTCTTAACCCTTCCATACAGAAGGTGTGCACGTATACTGGGAAAGTGATTGGCCGATTCATCGATACAGAAGAAATGACACTTTTGCGATTGCCGTTGATTGCAGAACGGCCTTAAAAGCCTGATAGATATTAAAGGCGGTTTAAGTGGATTCCACGTGCAGCCGGGAATTCTCATGGGGCCGCGTGTGGAACAAGTTTTTATTCGCCATTTCTTTTGTTCATTCTGTTACCATGTAACATGTTAAAGATCCGTCCATTTGTTTTTTGCATTTCCGGGTGTGGACTTTCTCCACCCGCAAACAACGCATCGGATTTAATGCACGAAGAGCGACTGAACACTTAAAATAAGACACTGGGTGATTTCAAATGTTAAAAACACCCCTTTAAGCTATAGCTAAACTTCGTATTTTATCCCTTCCTACACCCATCTAAAAAACTAGTATTTTCACCAGTATCAACGAGCCTTCCTTAATTCACGTCTGCATATCCAAAAATGAATGCAACCCCATACATCGTCTTTAATGCAAATCATTAAGGCGTCGTCAAGTTCACCTGGAAGAAAGATCTTTTTGGTAGCCTGTAATGCAATTTTATCCCGTTTCCTTCCACCTACACAGGGAGCGAATGCTCGGGCGATTACTTTCCAGGTGCATATGACCACAGGTGCATAGATTAGTCCCGGGTACCTAGAGGCATGGGTGGGAGGGTCAGGGCATGGTGCATAGGTTCCGCAACTCCCGTGGGGGGCCCCACAAGGAGGCGGTCTTTAATGGGACCGGGATTACATATATATGAGCAGCGATTTACACGTCCCCGCAGTTTCTGTTAACTCCGGTGCAGTGCCCTGCACCCTCCACTTTTCACTATCTCCGAAGAGACAACCGGCTTTCTCGCTAGGAAACTCCGCGGCCATAAATACGCCGTTCGCCAGGTGCGCTTTTAAGAGGAAAATCTGGAGCACATCCGGCTGTCGTATCCCGATCAAAGTTGTCTTCCGTCCTCCAATTTGAAAATCCGGCGATTCTCCGTGCTCGAAGATTTTTTTACTCTTTTCTTCTCTTTCGCAATTCTCGCCGTAATGATCATTTTTATAATCAACCCGACCTGCTACAAGGCGGCCATTTTGGAGAATGGTTTCGGTCTCGTATACATGTTTCGATTTTTATCATTATTAGAGAATTTACCCTGATTCTGGGTCTCGTCATTTCTAAAAATTCAAATTAATTGGAAAAGCTGTTCGTGACGTTAAATCATATTGGATCATATTGGCTGTTTCGATAGTCTCTCCGGCGCTCGCAAATGGAGCTCAGGAACCTGTATGGAGTTTCTTTCGCGTTCCTCTTGGTTTTATCCGGAGTTACCGCCGTCCAAAGATGGGGAGCGCAATGGGGTCGAGCACCCCTTCTGGAGAGGTTTTCCTGGAGGCAGATAGACTTCGCCTACCCCGACCAAAACAGTCGACAAATGGCGATCGCTTCCGGCGAGTTCATTCCTGAAAACGCCCTTCCGGTGGGCATCGAGATCTGGAGGAACAAGGTGTTCGTCACGGTACCGAGATGGAGGGACGGTAAGTACTCTAGTCTATTAAACACCGTACCAACCCCTTGAAAGGAGTTTCAAGAGAGTCAAATCATTATTCCTCGAATTAACAAATTATTTATCTAGTCTTGATACATGTCTAACAGACCTTTTATAACACCTTAAATCCGTCAAGTTAACGATAAACGCGAAGGTAAAGGAAATGAGCTCAAGTGCAAGGGGTAAACCCGGAATTTCGTTGAAAATTCAATACCCTTCCGCCTCCGCTGTAAAGATAAGGCCGGAACAGGAACAATCGTTTTGGCAACTGGACCCTAGACCGGAAGCAAGTGGTCAGGGGTCCTGCAAAAAGAGTGGGAGGATGTCAAAAGGGAAGTTCCTGTCTCTCTCTTGCGCCCGTCTGGGCGACTTCCGCCTCGGGACAAAAAATGCCGAAAATCGCGAGAAATGTCTGAATGGAATTCGCTCGGAAACGCTTCCCCTCTCTTTTCGGTCCCACCGCCCCCGTCTCAATCCCTTCGCGGCTGAATGGGGTTATTCAGTCCTCCTTTTTCAGGGTTTCTTGCGTGTTTTATATTTATTATATGCGTTGGCGCGCGCCAGAGCTTTGTGCCTCGCGGATGGACAATGACGGCGGCACGCTGTGTGCGATTTTGCTGTTTTTTTTTTTTTTCAATTTTTTTCTTCCACCGCGCAGCGTCCTCTTTTTTCTCTCTCCTGGACCTCCTCCCTCTCCCTCGTTCTCTCCCGCTTCCTAGAGGGGAGCTTTCGAACGGCGGCACGCTGCCGGCGCAACCCCATTGTCTTTGGGCAGGTTTTTGTGCCCTCGGGTGTCGTGTCCCATTCTTGCCCGTAACGTCAGGTTCTCCCTGCGACCAGACGCTCCTTATACGTGTTCAACGAACCCGCCGAACACCACCGAGAACGTAAAAAATCGGACTGCGCTCGTTTTCGCAATTACCTAGCTTTTTCATCTACCTTCCGTATGTTTAGTACGTGACGATAAGAATCTCATTACAAATCGATATTTTGGGAAATCACCAGAACTGGGTCATTTACATGATCATTAAATTCAATGAACCGGCGGGTACGCCTCTTTCGAGCAAGTTACGTTCTAATTTCCTTCCGCCGGAAAAATCGCGAAATTCCGACCAACGCGGCAGCCCAGAAATTCGAAAACGATCGCTTAATTCTGAAATGAACATTCAATCTTCCGCGTGAGTTAATAATCAATTATGTACATTACCTCGATGGAAGCACCACGCGATAAACTTTGATAATTCGAGCCCACCTTACTTGAAGTTCATATATTCCCGGCCGTCTTCGACACGCTCCGTTAGACACTTCACGGTGCATTGCGGAACATGTGCACATGCACGCGTGCGTATGTGCACATAAGATATGCACAGGAATACCTAGAGGGTAATCGTACTAGTTTTCGGCCCCAGATATTAGAAAGCGGTTATATGTCGTTGGATTTTCAATCACTTGTGAAATCCCTCGGGACCGGTTCGCCATAACTCAACACGCGATAATATGCATCAAGTGCTGCTTAACCATTTTTCACTGAATTATTTTTCCATATCTTGACGGACAGAGATTTAGATAATTAGGCTTTTGGAAATGTCGGAAATGGTAATCACCACTGAACACCGACATTTTCATTCTACTGAAAAATACCCTAAATTATTTACAGGAATTTTTCAATTTCCTTTTAAGAGGCGCTTTTTAATTAGTTAAGAATATTCACGAGTCAGGCATGGCTAGAATGAAGTTGAACGCCCTGTCTAAGATAGTACTGTATATTCCAGGATTTTCAACAGCCTATGTAACTCTGGCATTCCTGTTTACCATAATTAGCACCTTGGAGCACCTCAGGTGCTGGTCGACTTTTTCGATTACACCGCTTTTTTCCGTACCTTGATTGACACATGGAAGTAATTAGCTTTCCGCAATTATTTCACCCTTTTTGGGAACGCTGGTTTTTTACTTCGAACTTTCCATTTTATCTTACTTGAGAATGAACAAGTATTAGAAACACTGCGAGGATAATGCTCTTTGAAAATTGAATTCATAGAGTCTCTATTATTTCTAATATTCGTCCTGATACGAAAATGGTGTGTTAAATTTATAAAAAATTCTGAACATTTATTTTAGCTTCACGGACGGATTTCGATTGCCTCGATTTCAGCACCGCATTTCAGTCGTGCGTTTATAAAAAAAAAATGCATTCAAATGGTCAAATGGTAACCGCACGTGCTTTCGGTTCGACATATTAGAAAGTGGTTATATGTCACAGAATTTTCAGCCCCTTGCGAAATCCGTCGAGACCGGTTCGCCATCGCTAAATGCTTGATAGTATATCAAGTGGTCGACATTTAATCATCAATAATTTTTCCATAGATGGATAAAATGGCATTACTACATGCGATGCATATCCATCCGCAACTCCTTAACGAATGCTGGAAGCGTTATAGCTTTCCATTTCATTTCTCCTGCTGCACCGAATTTTCATGCGAATTTTTTCATACAAAACTATCCTTGAACTTGCTTTTCCACAAGTTTCGTAATTTACGTCAGATGAACGATCATATAATAAGCAATTACCCCAGTCCGGCAATTTCTAAACACCTTGCTCGGGAATATCCCCGCACTTACGTGGACCAGTAATTGCATAAATGCGTCGAACTCAATACCCAACAATTAGGTCCACGGTTTCTCAAGTGCACTGCCAATGGAGTTTGTTGAAAATGAGAAACGTCGAGATCGGCGAGTCGCGAAGTGGGTAACGCCACGGGTTCCGGGTGTCAAATGGTTTCTTTGGTTCCGAGTGGGTCGGTTTCACGGATCGATAGATCGCCCTAATAAATAATCGACGCAATCCGACGTAGCAGGCCGGGTCGAGATCTATCTCTTGGTCCTTAAGATCCGATCTACGGCGCGACTGCGCAAGTCGCTCGCTCCTATGTATCCCTCGTATGTATCGCCGTCGGGGTCCTGCCGACCTTACAAGGCCCGCGTGTACATATTAATTTCCTCGTTTATCGTCCCTGCCGATTTATTTCCGAAATCACTTGCGTCAGTGGCCCGACAGCTGCGACAGGATCCGAGTCCTTCGGCGTCGCCACCTACGATCGACCCTTGTTTTCGTCCTTTCCGACCCAGGATCTTCCCTTTCGGTTACTTCCTTGTGTCGTATACTCGCAAAAAATGTCCTGACGTTGGACGTTTATTTTTTTTTTTTTTCAAAAATATTGACAGCATTTTCAGTTTAAAAAGGGATGCGATACCTTACGATACAATTACCGTCGCCGATCACGGAAGATCTCTTTTAATTCCCTATTAAATTAAAAAATCACGTTGAGACCCTATCTGGCGTTCATAAATGGGTAGATCGTTGTAAGTAAGCGACTCCCTTGAATTTTTCCGAAAATCCAGTCGGCTCGATCAATCGGCCCAGGGAATAAACGGTAGCTACCGTCGGCGATCACAGAAGGGACTTGTCGCATAATTAAGCGAGCCCCTTCAGACTTTCCCGATTGGGATCTGGGATGAATGGCGGCCGAGGCGTTTAGGCGGTCGCACACGAGCGTCGTGTGTGGACGCCGCTTATTTGCATCAATTAGAGCCAAGCCGGTGGCATCCTAACGTGAAAACTTTACGAAATCCAAAACCTAACAACCCGACCGATAGTTGTCGTTCTATCGCTTCGTTAACGTAATGACTCACTATAAGCGCGACTTCCGCGCTTCGGCGCCTTCCTCGGGATCCGCCGCCATTATTTACGACTAAAAGGTTCGAAGCCGTTTAACGGGGCCTTCCATCGAATGGGACAATATTCCGGCAATATTTCACGCTCATCGAGTAATCCGACCTGTCGATTTATCTTTATTCCACGAATTCATTCGCGCTTAATTGGATGCCGATGAAAAGTCGGGGAAAGAATTAAATGCCGATCCATTATCGCGCTTGAAAGAAAAAAAGGATAAAATTACCCGCAAAGGAGGAATAACGTCGAATTTTGCGGTAATTTCCAGCGATAAGAAATAATAACGAAACGAACGACTATCTCTCGAGTCGACGACGTGTCGGACTTTTCACGCTTTGTGACATTTTTACAAGTGTAATGACTTTTAGAGCCCATAACTTTTGCATACATTGACCTTTAGAGTGCATAAAATTTAACGCATGAGAATCAGCCCCAACGATGTAGATAACGAGGGTGATTATCGGCCTTGTGGATTTAAGCCCGTCTTTTACGTGGACGATAAGTAGTACGTTCATGTGGACGGTGACTTACGACCGAGCCATAAACCACTCGGTGTGTCTTATGCAACACTCCGCGTGTTAAATTAATGCATCTACTCTCTAGATATGACATTGCCGCAATTCCGATTCGGTGTACCGCGAATTATGACCCAATGAGACTTGCCATACTTCCTTGAACTTGAATCAGCTGGTTTAATTACCAGTAATTAACTCTCGAACTCGACTACATATTGAACGTTGTATTTGCACTGTTTTTATGCCCAGGTATTCCGGCAACGCTAAACTACATTTCAACTGATGCGAATTTAAATGGATCTCCAAAATTAACCCCGTACCCTAATTGGGCAAGAAACAGAGCAGGTTTATGTGGGAGCGGTCTCACCACTGTTTACCGGTAAATAATTAATTACAGTTTCTAAAATGAAATATTTTAAACAAGGCACCTTCGAGTAAACCCAAGTGGGCTTTATTTGATTCTACGTATTTTCATTTTTGTCACTTTCATGTTTCTTATCGTCACGCAGGATCCATGCAGATGTCTGTGACAGACTTTGGGTTTTGGACACCGGGACAATTGGAATCGGCAATACAACCGTACAAGCATGTCCTTATACGCTGAATGTTTTCGATTTAACCACGGACAAGATCCTGAGGCAATATACACTCAGGCCAGATGACATAAATCAGGTGAGCGCAAATGATTTCCTGGAGTAACGATCAGCTCTTGGAACGGTCTTTCCAAGAATGGCGCAAGAACTTTGTACAGAAAAGAAATGACTGAAAAGGCGAAATGTATATATAACGGACGGCAAATAATCCGTAACGTGGACGTAGAATTAATTGGGGCAATTTCCGATTGTTTTTCGCAGAACACTTTCATTGCCAACATTGCAGTCGATCTCGGCACGGGTGGCTGTGACGACGCCTTCGCCTACTTTTCGGACGAACTGGGTTATGGACTAATTGTCTATTCCTGGGCGGAAAACAGATCCTGGAGAGTCGAGCACAGCTATTTCATGCCCGATCCATTGGTCGGCGATTACAATATCGGCGGTTTGAACTTCCAGTGGGGAGAGGAGGGCATCTTCGGGATGAGTCTGAGTCCTTTGGCTCTGGATGGTTTCAGGACCCTCTTCTTCCACCCTCTCAGCAGCAACAGGGAGTTCGCCGTATCTACCAGGATCCTCAGGAACGAGCAGTTGTCTCAGAACAGCTACCACGATTTTCAGGTATTTTCTTAACCACTGGATGTTGAAAAATGTAATTTCACGAGCATCGGGTTCTTCCTTGGAGCCCCCATGACCACGTGCCGATGTTTCGATATTTTTTTACGTTCCGGTAAGATACATGCGTGCGGGAAGATTTTCAAATTTTGAGATAAAAAATTCGATTCTCACGATAAGATCGCACGTTGTTCAGGTCCTGGAGGAGCGCGGTCCGCTGTCCCACAGCACCGCCGCGGTCATGGACGAGAACGGGTTGCAGTTCTTCAACCTGGTCGATCGAAATGCCGTCGGATGCTGGAACTCCCGGCTACCTTATACACCTGTCAATCAGGCGATCGTGGCGAAGCACGACGAGGCTTTGATATTCCCGGCCGACGTCAAGGTAATCCAACACCGGCGAAAAGAGACGCTCACCAATCACGGATCGCCGGGTCTCATAACATGCCGACATCATCTTCCTTCTTTTCTGCACCTTATCGTTCACATGAGACAGAGGGAGGCCCTTGGCCGATAGTCTCGAATACAGATGAGCAGATAGCGATTAATGTATTTCATTCTGTCCAATCCATCACACTTTTTTTTCCTCCGTCGTTGTTTGCGATCCTGCCGGTTTCATTTCCACCGCCGATGTTTTAATTGTGCATTTCTATTATTGACGCCATTTTTTCTTAACTCGAATTGCATCCTGCATGATCATATTTTTTATATTCAATGTTCCTTTACGTTCGTGAGAGTGGATTTCTTCTGGATCATTTGTTCACCGAGAACTTTTCGAACTTTCAGATCAGCCGAGGAATTCTGTGGGTACTCTCGGACCGGATGCCGGTTTTCCTTCTCTCGACGTTAAATTACACGGATGTCAACTTCCGGATATTGACTGTACCAGTTCGAGATGCAATCGATGGAACCGTTTGCGAGAACAGACCCTGGATGTACGATAACAATCGTATCTGGTGGGATCGCTGAACAAATTCGTTCGACGCGCGAAAATATCGAGTCTGAACGTAATTGTGCGAACCTATGATATGACATTGTTAAAGGTTTTCATAAATGTGCCGATGAAACAGTCAAAGTGCAATTCCTTACGGCCTTTCGATAGACACCTTCCTGTAAATCGCCCTCCTCGTTAATGCGACTTTGTGCAATTATTATGTTATTATGCAATTATATTAATTTCGAAAAAATGACTCTTCGCTCCCGCAATTTGTTCATTAAAATTCCAGGTAAACGTATTAATCGGTATTTATCAACGTGAAGGTTTACCCGTTACTTTAAGAAACACTGAATGTACATTGAACATACATTGCAATAAATCTCCTTAAATTTTTTAAATTTCGCGCATGTCAGGAAACTCTCCTTTTCACATTAAGCACTCTTTTTGGCGTTTTCCTGGAAAACTTCGCATCTCCGGTGGAATGTGGTACTTTCCTTTAGTCATTAGCGCGAGTAATTGGCAAAGAGAGAGCTACGATGGAAATGCAGCTAATCGCCTAATGGCATTTACTAACAAACATTCCGCGAATCCGGTTATTTTGCGATCTCGCTCGATTGAATCGATTTCTCGATTGTAGAATCGCTATCGATTCCGGTTTCGGGTGCAGTGAAAGTAATGGCATAGATTAGGCTTTCCGTTAAAATGATTTATGAGGCGGTTTCCGCGACGAATCAGACTTTCCGATTGACGAAATGTACCTCAACGTTGAAAATAAGGATAAAAGTCTGAAATCGACGTCACTACGTATGTTACATCACAGAGATAATTGTATCGGCGTTACCTAACAGAGTATTCCGATCGACACGACACCCTGTATTTAAATGCACCACGTAATAATTAATATAAATTAATTTTAGTTCTTTCAAACATAAAAAAAATTCGGCGAGTGAATGAATTCTCGTAATTACAGCATGTCTTTATGTATTCGATACGATGGATAATGACACGGAACTATCCAAACAGCCGATTAACACTGCAGTAGGCTAACCTATGAGTCCCAGGTTAATTTGCATAAAAATACCGTAGACACGGGGACAGGGAGCAAAATGAAGACACCATTCCGGGCGGCAGGCGCCCAAAATGAAATATTAGTTCATTTTTCTTCTCACCGTGTCACTCCTTTTCTTTTTTTCTTTTTTTTTTTTTTCTACATACTAAATGGGCAGGGAAAAAGCGGCCATAACATTATCCAACTAGCCGGTTAACACCGTGCTTCGCGGATACTTAACAAATCCTTCCTCCCGACTTACCACGAAATGCGGCTCATCCATAATTCATAGATAGCGGGAGGCCCTCGTAGCTAGTAATAGCTAGGGTTGGTTTCGTCGTCTTACCTCCTAACACGATCGTCGCCGAAGGCGATCGGTAGGGAAATAAAACCCACTGGAATCCGCCGAAACAGGGGAAACAAAGAAAAAAAGAGGAATCGAAAAACGTGGAAACCGAACGGGCGGTGATGCTATCGTCGGATCTCGATCGAGGTTTTTGGATCGAACTCTGGCCAGCTGTTTTTTAGGGATCTCGGTTTTAGGAGAGAAGAGATTCTCCGGAATGGGAATAAAATCCCAATAAATTCCTGTTATGGCGCATTTGGTCCATAATCTAACTCCGATTCTCACCTCGATAAAGCTAATCCGTATTCCTATCGATATTGTACCAAACTCCTTTGGTTTGGATGAACGACGCGTAGGATTCATAAATCGGTGCACCATGTCGGAATAAAACTTCCAAGAATAATTTTATACAATTATAATATTTTTCTTTTAACAGCGTATAGATTAAAAAAATCGGCTCGTTCGTCATTAGGTATCGGCATGTCTCAATTGGTGACTGGAGGCTCGACATTAGGCTAAGTCTCTAGGCCGGCTCCAATTTCCGGCGTTTTGGGGGAGCGTGAAGAAACGCATTCAAATCGGCGCGAATCGGGCCCCGCGGGAACCAGATGGCGAGGAACCGGCAGCCCATTATTCTGGGCCTCGTTTCCGATAATTTTAAGGGACCGTGCCGGTTCCAGGGTTCCATAGTTCCCCGGTTCCTCGGCCGCGAAGCTGATATACGATCGTCCGGAATTCTCGCGCTCCTTCCAAATTATCCGTCTCACGCCCACGCGTCTAAAATACGGCAACGCGAGTTCCCCGTAACAAAAATGGGCCATTTTTGGTGGCAAAGTGCCCCGGGCAGGACTCACGGCTGTCAGATTCTCGGGCCCATCGAAATCGATTCCTCCGACCACCTTAAGGTGATACGAAAGTGCGATATATAAAAAGTCGAAATATTTATAAAACTTATTTTCTTCAAACTGGGTGCACCGAATTATCTGAAACTTTATCGCGTGATACGCGTATCTTACGTCGTTGTAAAAGTAAACTGCGTATGCTTTATTAATTTATTTTTTTTTCGGCCATTTTGGACGTCTACTCGAGTCTTGTTCGATCCAATGTACCGAGGTAGGAGGTCCCCTAAAGATGCAGATTTTGGGACCAAAGACACCGAATGGCCAGGGTTCGATTAGATTGATTTTATTAGGTCGGGCAGTTAGGCGCGAGTTTAATGGCGGCCGAATCGGCGAGGTGCTCTCGCCACCTTGGCGATTCGGGCGCGAAGATCCACGCCCCGAATGCTAATTTGGCCGATCGATAGATCCCCAGCCGTGCGATCCTCGCCGCGGCCATAACCGGCGGTTAGGCGAGTGCGAGATCGCTTGGTGCGATCCGGAGGCGTGTTTTCAATTTGGAAAACAGATTCCGAGCTGTAGATCAGCAGGGATAAGAGGGCGCAGTGGTCCTTATTACGAGAGTCGTTCGAGCTCGATCGATCGATCTCGTTTTCGGTCCCACACCCGGAGGATCTCGCTTACTCCAGTCCCACGCATTCAAATCTCCCCTTCCTGGCAGTCCCCGCTAATTTAAGCGAAGCGCAAAAATTCGTTCGTCAAAGGAATGGTCTAGGAGCGATCCGGAAAAAAATTCCATAGAAAATAGATGAGAAAAAATTGAGATAAATTATCCGAAAATGCTAGCCACAATTTCTTTGCATTTATCTCGCGGTTGGTGAATGGGAGTCCCGAGAGCGCTCTTTCGGACCCGCCAGGAAGTTGAATTCCGAATGCCCCTTGGCGTTCCCCGAGCACTTTCGCTTTTTCTTCGTTTTCTCAGCGGGCTTTGAAGTCTTCATCTCCCGGATTTTGAGCGGAGGCGCAGGCTCGCGTGCGTCCCGCGTTGCTAAAACAAAGGTGAGAAATTCGAAATACCAGAGCGGCTTTCGGTAGAAAGCGAAAGTAACTCGAGGAGACGATCGTATGGGTTTTTGGGAGGTGCACCCTGCTCGAGGGTTGTCGACAAAAGGTCAAAATCGAGGCGAAATCACCGTGTTGATTACACGGTTCCGGCGAGCGCAGCGCCACGCAGGGGGCGCGGCCAGACGCAGGAGCAACTGTCGAATCTCGTCTATACTTAGGTTTGTTTTAAATTAACACCTCCTCGTGGGCCACGGCACACTTTAACACCTTCTTAAACCCGAGCGCCGCTTTTTGAGCGGCGTATAATTACGGGTTTACATTTACTCGAGGAACCGTCCGGCGACGGGAACGTCCAGGAACGCTGACGAGTCACTTAACCCTTTGCCGACCGACGACGTCCGACGATTCTTCGACGCCTTTCTTCTGCTTCTCCGGGGCTTTAAGTCATCCCCGAATAACGACACGGCCGCCACGCCGGAATATTTACTCACCCTGAAAAACGTGACATCGGCGCAAAAAAATCCGCCCGCCATTGTTTCACGGCTATAAATTACATTTTCGGTTACCCTGGTGTTACGTGGTGGTAAAGTTATTCCTGTAAGGTTATTTTGAATTACGTCTGCGAAGATGTTTTCCCAGAATTAAATGTGAATTCTAAGGTAGGAATAGTTATTAAGGAAGAGTGGTAAAATAGTGGAAGAAGTTTCTTTGGGCAGTTGGAACTAAAACTGCAGGTTTAAAAAGACAGTCATCGAAAATTCTTTCACTCTAATCGATTACACCTCATATTTTCATAAAGGGGAAAGTGAAAAATATGACGGAAAATTTTTCGAAGAAAGATGTATTGGATGAGAGGGTAGCAAATAAGAACATCGTGGCACCATCTGTGCGGACGAGCCTGAACTTTGTGACGGTTTGTCGGTATTATAGATTTCTAACCAACTACCAGCAAATCTGGAAATGTTACTCTTAAATAAAATAACTTTTTAGCCATTCTTAAATACGGGTAAACCAGAAATGTACGTAAATCTTAAATTTGACTTTTCGCAATCGTAACTGTCTTACATTATCATATGACTTATCGATAACTTTGATATTATCACTTCGGTAACCGAGTCAATCCGGTGGCGCCATCTGAGCTTGATAAAAGACCTCGGGTGTCTGAATTTATCGCTTTTTCACCATAATCCCATAAAGTTAAAAGTGGGAAGCTCCGTCATCCCCAGAAAGCTTTTTTACGACGGCCCGGGAACGGCAACCTTTTCACGTAACTTAGAAGAGCTCCAAAACTTCTATTAGACCTTTAATTAAAAGTTAAGGAAAAATTCGCGACATGTATCTCGCCTTTACGGGAATCGTCTGAAAGCAGCGCGGGTTGAAAGTTTGATGAGCATAGAGCACGAAATCCGGTATCCTCCGGAAATACGGTTTTCTCTACAAAGATAACAGGAGAAACGCGAAGAAGACGAAAACATCCCAATAATGTTTAATAAATCACGCGTTATTTAACTTTGTTGTTTAGCTATTTTTTTTGTCATTTTTGTATTCGATTATTATCAACATTTCTAGTCATGAAGGCCGAATCAATACACCGTCCGTTTTCGTATTTTTATAGAAATACCGTCTTTTTAAGGGTATATTACAGTGTTCATATGTTTCTGTATCAGTTTCCGTATTCGTCCGTCCGTGTCAGTGTCAGTGCGCAACGGTTCTTCAGTGCACGGACGGCACGGTAGGTGCCAGCACTGGCGTCGGAACGAGTTCAAGGCCCATCCACACATCTCAGTTCAGTATCCGTGGCGTGCCCGTTCCGTTTTCATCCACGTCAGTGAAGCCTACTCAGATATTTCTCTGGTCGTTCGGTACACCACGATAAGCCATACGAGCAGTAAAGAACAATCTAGAGTCAACATATCGTAATTGTTTCTGCTTTCCCTGCACTCCGTGAAAATATCGTCGCTGATGACGTTTCACGGACACTGAACGGGTGGACCGTCACCGACACGGTGACGGAAGTGTGAGAATACTTCCGTATATGTATATATTTGATAATTTTTTAAAATTAATGAAAAACGGATACCGAACCGATGAATACATAATTGCAACAAAAAATTCCAACTGTTGCATAAATTGCAACAGTTTAAATATAGATTGCTCGTTTTTCGTTCATTTGAAATGGACGATGAGAAATTAATCGAATACATTCGCGAATATGAAGAACTTTACGATTTATCCCATTCGCAATATTTAAATGGGAATATAAAAAATAAAAAATGGGCCGAGATATCTAATAAACTGAAACAACCAGGTACGTGGTGATATACTTCGATAGAAATCTTGATTGAAGACTATTTATTAAGTTTTGTAACTTCTTAATTGATGTCCCTACTTCCCTTGAAATAATCACATCGATCACAGCTAACAATACTACAGTACATTTGTTTATAATTGAATTGTGCACGAGCAAGGCCAAAAACTGTGATATTACAAAATCATTACCAGGACGTCGATTAATTGGGAATAATTATTCGCAGTTGCCGCATGTAAATCTCGTTGGAATAATATCCGGGATAATTTCCGAAAGTCATTGAAAAAGCGAGGGGCCAAAAGCGGACAGGCGGGAGCAACAAATAAGAGATACAAATACGAAAGTCAATTGAGTTTTTTAGTGCCTTTTATAAAAGAAAGAGAGACTTCGAGTAGTCTGAGCAACGTAGAGAGAACTACGGGCGATGAAAATGATAATTCCGATAACGACGAAAACGACGACATAGAAGAAGATGATCTGGACCAGGCGATAATATCGAAATCGGAGATCGTGGAAACAATAGACGATATGGAACATGCAAACGAAAATATCGACTCTGACGTTAAATCTTCAAAACTGACGTCGTCGTTGCAGTTTAAAAGAAAGAGGGCAAGGGGCACGAAATCAATATTCAAGAATCCATCGGCAACGGTATCGGCGACATTGTTAAGATACGTGCTTGAACAAAAGGAGAAAACGAATCGACAACCAGTTCACCCAGTGGATGCATTTCTTGCAGGGATTGCGCCAACATTGAAAGCACTTAGTCCTTATCACTTGAATATTGCCAAATCGAAAATATTTAACACACTGCAAGAAATAGAATTGGAGCAAATTATGCACATGTAACACAGATCTGTTATTCCAACAGAAGCAACACCATCGCCATCGCCTTGCCTATTGTCTAGTTACTAGACATCTCCACTATCCATTTCAACACCGATCATTTCTCCAAAAATAATAAACTCAACGATTACATGGCCTTCCAGATACATTAACTTTTAAGTATTGCTCGAGTGCATCATTATTGCAATATCCTCTTTCAAGATGAAGATAGCAAATAATTATGTACGTTAATATAAACGTAAGTAAAATAAAGAATATATGTATATTTATTCTTACGTTTTACATATCTCATAAGATACGTATTTTGTAAGCTGTTCCATACATTCAATTATTAAAATTGTTCGTAATAAATTGTATCGCGTATATTATTACTCTAACCTTACGTCGGCGGATTCATTGATGTCAGAAATATTTCTGTTTTAATTCAAGATTCACTTGGAACGACAATCGAATTTTCTTTCAGGTGCGAACGCATGTACGCGATGTACATGCGCACGCGGTAAGCCATTTTTCCGGGAAAAATTTTCTTGGAATATCGGACGTCGCGAGATAAGCCACGAGACGAAAAATCTTCCTATCAGACGCGTCCTGGGATTCCTCTTCTACTTCCGTAGAAGAGGGATAGAAGACAGAAGAGAAATCGAAACGAACTTTACTAGCAGTATAGCAGCGGGACGCAATCTCGGGAAATCGGCAGCGAAAACCTTCTGAGATCCTATTGTATCCTGCAGCGTTCCCGATTTCTCCCGCCATTGCATGATCTCCTCGATCTCTTCGTAGCAACCTGTGGAACTCCGGAAGAAAAAGGCGAGACGCTTTTACGGGTTTTCGTATTTTCGAGAATCCCCCCGGATTTTCTCGGCAGACTCTGGGACGACGAATGGCCGGATTTTAAACGAAAATATATATCATTCACAGGACATTTTTATAGATACATTTAATAAATATCGAAGACATCGAATTAGGAACATTTCACATTTCTTCGGTCTATCGGACCTTTTTTTGCACTCGGCCATAATACGCCCAATAACTATAAAAATCAGGACAACTGTAAAACCTTGTTTTACAACGTCTATTTTCAGGTGTTCTGGATTTTATTGCGATTGCAATTTCAGGATGCGAGCTGGACCTTATTGTTGAAAATGGAACCTTGCCAGTCGATACATTGTCGATTCGGCTACAATATGCTTGTTGCAGGAATTGTATCAGTCTAGACGTGAAATTCTTCCGGATTACGTAAAGAATTATTTAATAAGTCGAATATTTTCATCTTCGCCCTAATCGATTTTGCTTCAAGTTTACGCGTTATTTTTGGGTAACAATTTCCTAAGGTGATTCGACCTTTCCTTCGGGAGACGAGTTTTCCGCGATTTTTCCCGAAGGGAGATGCTCACGTTCTTGCACAAGATTCCGTCAATATTTGCACCACTAAAATGCGGCGGAAATTCCGCCGCGGTATCGAAACTTTTCCAGCCCGATTTATCCCTTGAGCGATACGCAACCCACGAACGATTTGTCTTGGGCAAACGTTATCAGTGGCATGTTACTTTTTCAATCAGGGGAAATCCTTACTGTTAAACCACTAATTAGCACCTATTCCACAGCCAAAGCTGATTCTAGCTTCTATATCAATTTTATAAATATATTCGTAAATTTGACGGGGACGAAAGGAAACAGTACTTCGCCATTTCGAGAGGGATGATCCCCTTAAAACAATACAACTGGAAGTCGAAACAAATAGATGTCCGGGCCGAATCAATTTAATATCGTTTCCGGGGAACCGATAAGCCCCTTAAAACCCGCAACTCGGAAGAAAGATGTCCCACTTTTACCAATATTCTACCCTCTTGGCCGGAAAACAAAAGGAATTCCAATCCGTATCGAACGTAATCCAATTGCTTTCCCTGGATATCTTTGAGAGTGGATTTCGTTAAAATAATGAAATGAAACTTTCTGCTTCCGTATTCTGAAGAGGTCACCCAACATCCGAGTGCACTCGAATTTTTATTGCATTGAGCTCGTATCAATAAGCAGGTAACACATCGGGAGTGTTCTTGAAGTTTCTTCTCGTAAATCGATAGAATCTAAAATAATTACTGTCGGGATAACAATTGCAATGCTCGACACAAGAATTAATTTTTTTCCATTTATAATTTTATTACAGCCTTGCGTATTAGAAATGCATGAATTTTCTGCATTTTTTAACGGTGCAGGGGAAGTTTCCCCATGGGAGGACCACGGGTCGCCTTAAATCTCGTCCCTAGAGAGAATCTCGAAAGCCATTTTCACGTCTTTAAACAGGCAGATTGGCTGAGCGCGTTTTCTCGGACGAAAGTGGAGTGGGCCAAACTCGGTGGCCGAATTTACGGGAATTTCTCCATACCGCGCATAAAAGAGCCCATAAGAAAAAGAGGGGAGAAATAAATGGCCCCTCCCGAAGCCCGATCTCGTAAAACGGATTTCGTTTCGCGAGCTAGAATTCTCGCAGACTCGACAACGAGTCCCTTTAGTGCCCCGATAAAGATTCGACCAGATTCTCGGCTGATAAGCCATGTCGAGGAAGCCGAAAGACCCGATCCCCTTAACGACTCCCGACATTTCCAATTTCAATGGGGTTTAGCGTAGTCAAATTCGTATCTCGTTACTTCGACCCCGAACCGAGAAAAAAAGAAGGTGTCTTCCAATTTTCCCAATTTTGGTCCCTCCCTATGTATGATTACAGCGACGGGACAATTATTCGAATCCCAAGGTGGCGTCGGTACTTTATATAAAAAGATCCGAAAGGTCCAGAAGAAAAGAAGATAGTGGCACAGAATGGAAGAGTGAACCAGAGGAAAGGTAGAAAATAAGGAGAGACGGTCAGCGTAGGCGTCGCCAAAATGGCGACAAAGACGCTTCAAGTGACTAATTGCCCTCTCGCACCTCCTAGCAGTTTGCACGCGCCATTAAACGCTCTAACGATATTGCCGTCTCCCCGAATTCCCCGAGAAATTTCGCATCGTCACACCTGTTTACTCCTGGGACAGAATGCAGCCGTGATTCCGAGCTTAACGGCCTTAACGACGCCATTTTGCGAAGACGCCCTTCGCCTCTAGCCGGAAGAGGCGTCGAAAAGACCGGAACTTCCTAAACGGAAGTGGACATTCTTAGCCCCTGAATCCAGACGAGATAGCTTAGGTAACGCGTTATCAAAATGGCATCTGATTAGACGCGACTTTCGCATCACCTTAAAGAAGCTTAAACGCGACTTTGACGATTCTCCAATTGCAGGGAATTCCCATAAATAAATTCTATTACACGTAATAACAGATCGAGACATTCGAAGTATCCAATCCGCAGAGAGCACTCGTAATGGGGCTTTTTCCGGCGAATGCAGAAAAAGTCCGTCGTAGTTCCGGAACAATGAGAAAAGTTAGCCGAGGAGAATCCCTCGTTCGCTAATTCCCCCAATCGGGGGAGGGAGTTGTAAACGAGATTGTAAAAATGCTCTTCCCATCGGGCAGGTTGTCGCGATTTCTTGCCCCGCTAATGGCCACCTCGAGTTTCGGCGCTCCTCCCTTTTTCCCCGAGAACTTCATTGTTTTTCACGTCGGGGAAAACGGGAAAGGTTTCTCGAAATCTCGCCCCCGAGATCAAATTATCGGCTGTCCATTTTGACCGGACAGGAGGAGAGAAGGGAATGCCGCGAATCTCGCCTCGTGCATTCCTGCAAAAGGGGCAAGAAGAATGGCGGCCATTTTGGAGAACGCGCGCTCGAAATCGGACCGAAATGACCGAAATGACCGAAGAGAGACTGTGCCGCGTTTTTTAGACACACGATGTGCCTGAAAAATGGAGATAGAATGTGTCCCATTTGCTACTCAATGGCGCGAATGCGTGATAAGTCTTTGTATGACATTATGCATATCACTGGGAGGACAGGACTGCACGAGCGCGAGTAAAGCCTGGACCTAATTGGACGGAAATTCAGGGGCGAGAGATGTAGATTATTAAGCGGAAACGTTTATTACTAATTGTTGTACCGTACGTATAATTTTAAAAGTTTGGGCAACCGGGAGTAATCCGGTACTCGAGGAAATGTGATCTCGCGTGTCTTTAAATAATAGATAATGGATTAAACTAAACGAAGTTGCGACACGCAAATCACGAATTCAAGATTAACTAACCGTAATTAAGCAATTTCACCCTAATCGCGGTTGGCGCAACTCGGTGCCCTTAATGTCAGACGCCCTTTTTTATTTTTTTTTCCTAAGGATTGGAACGCCTTCCTCAGGACGAAGTCCTGAGATAAGGGTTGCATCCTCGAAGCTCGACACCCAGCTGCCTTCGGGTACTTTTCTTTGGATGCTGAGAAAACTGCGAGATAACGTTTTCCCGACGACGTCCCGACAGGAAGACATTTTGATCCTCGTCCTTCCGGGAGTCCTTGCGGAATTATGGTCCGCGGCAATTTCTGGATCGCGGCCCTCACCTGGATACGGAATCACGTCCGCCCAATTTCACGAGTAAACTTAATTGGAGACCGTCCAATCCTCGCGGCCCAATAAAGCGGAGAAATTTACGAAAGGAGAGGAAAAGAGAGTACAAAGCCGCGGTATCGGCCGATGCCCTCCTACAAAGTGGCTCTCGGTTTTCGTCCACCGTTTCGTCGTTTTTGCCCTCAAACTTTTCACCGGAACCAATGGTCGTTTGGCAGGACCCGCCAAAGGATTCTTCCTCTATTGAGTCAGCAAATGTCGGTCGACAAGTCATCATGCCGCTTCCCGAAAGAAGTTAGATAGTTCCTCTTAGTTTCAGCCAAGATAGCTGGAGATGAAGTGCCGAAAGTACACAGAGAAAAAAAAAAATCATTGAACCAAAGAGGAATTTCATTGAATAGCACCGATGAAATATTGTAAATATTCAAAGAATTTCCCTCAAACAATCTCAATAATTCCGAGGGAACGTTGCGTCCAATTTATTCGATTCCCTTGATAAAGAAAAAATTACTAATAACAATATGAGGATTTTTCTCTAATTGAGATTTATAATCTCTCGCGCCATTCTCTCATTGTCGTCCTTCAGCCTTTATTAAACGTCCACTCTCCTAGACTCGGAAGGATTTATGAGAAGAAATTTGTAGTCCCGGGTCGAAATGATCCGATCTCTTCGGTGTAAACTCGAGCGACGCTCGGAGACACGCGTTTATAACGTTTCTAGGTGTAGGTACACGAGACCACCGGTACCAAGAATAATTAGGAGAT